CTTTACGTAGTCTATGAAACATAGATACACATCCTTCTGCATCTATATCTCTCTTTCTGATAACATTCTGAGCACGGATAGCGCGTTGCAGCCTCTATTTGTTCGGCTTCTTTCTCCTTATAAATCTTCGTTTAACAATATTTATCGCATCTTTGATCTCGTCAGACATCTTTTGTTTTTATAATGATGTGAAAGAAGGGAAGTGATGTTTTTTCTTATTTATCTAGTCTAATTCCATTTTTGTTTATTTTATACCATTTTATATTTTAATTTTATTTGTATATATTTATTATTTTTATTTCATTTAAATAGAATAACATGGTAAATAACAAATAGGAAACGTTTATCAATCTAACATGTTCCACTTTTATTAAAGCTTCACCAGAGAATGAGATATGGAAAAAAAGAAAACAGAAATTCTGCTATTTTTACTTCTGTGTTGTTTGATTTTCATTAGTAAATCCCGTTTCACGTGCGTTCGACTTGTTTAGTCAATGTTAGTATAACCTATGACGTTCCGAATTCAAAGAAAGGGGACGCATCTATTTAAAGTTCCAAGCGGATTCAAAAAAACTACCTGAAAACCCGCAAATATTAGTTTATGTGAGTGTACAGTAACTCTACTTTGTAACTATTTGAGTAGTAGTAGCAGTAGTAGTAGTAGTAGACATTATGTTGGTATTCGCGTGTAGATTTGGGAACGTAATTACCGTCTATTTAATGGACTCAATAAAGTTTCCAGATGTAATATAATGTTACTAACGTGTATTTATATTTGATAATATTGATGTTATTAGGCTCCCAAAATACTTTCTCTTTATGAATTATCTTATTTTTTAATTATGGTGGCATTTGTAAAATCAAAGTTATGACCAGTTTTATTCCTGTGTATTACGAGAGAGCTTGAATGGTTGTCTAAACGTAAATCTTTTTTGTGTTCCTAGATACGGGCTTTTTAGGTCTCGTGATGTCTCACCGACATATATGATTTTACATTGTAACAATTTATTTGATAAGTACCGATATTTGTATTGATATTGGATTAATTTTTTCAAATGCTGGTATTTATCTAATAAATTGCTTGAAATAATTTTTTCGTGATGCGTCTCTTACTTTAGGACTTCTTCGGACTAAAGTTGTATACATTGAGCTAACTCGGCATGTACATGGTGGTAATGTAGGCTGAACTTTTAAAGTTGTTAATTTAATTTTTAACTATGTTTTGGGGTATATAATCTAAATAATTCCATTTTTTGGTGTTTTTAACAATTTCGTTATTAAATATCCTAAATTTTGCTAATAGATTTTGCAAGAAAGATGAAATGTCGTAAAAACCTGAACGGAAAGTTACAGTGATTAAACAGATTAAAGCACTTTCTATACACTTTCGTTTTTGTAAATTACTTTCTCCTTCTGTTAAAGTAGCATTTTTTTAAATTAGAAATTGTGGTCAGACATATTATGGTGAGGTCGTTTTATAAAATATCCCTTTTGTGTTCATATTTTTTAATTGATATCGCCCTAAGCAAGGCAGTAAAGTCACTAAGATACAAAGATTGTTGTTGTTCGAACTATCCTTCTCTATGGCTGCGAAACGTGGCCAGTTAGAGCAGTTGACCTACGAAGGCTTGATGTGTTCGACAACGATTACCTTCGCTGCATTCTACGATGCCACCGAATCGATCGTATGCCCACAACCCCTGTACGTCGTCGCCTGAGCCTCCGTCCTCTTCCACCCGTCCTGCTCCAGCGTCATCTCCGATGGTTCGGGCATGCCGCTCGACGCGTGGAGGGAGAGCTCATCCGCGATGTAATTCTCCCTCCTTCTCTTCCTGGCTGGCAAAAACGTGTTGGCGGGCAGCTGAGGACGTGGGCTAGCACAATCAAGGATGACCTAGCAGTACTATCGGGTCCACAAGTAGTTGGTCATCGACGATCGAATCGCGATTGGCTCGCCATTTCGTGCGACTTGGCTCAAGATCGGCGAGCGTGGGCAGCGATGGTCCGTGATGCTGTACTTGCTCAGGAGGAAGCCGGTTCAACCCAACCAGGGTGAAAACCGATACAAGTCAAAAGTCAAGTAAGATACAAGGGAATACTGGTGTGAAAGGATTCAAATCAGAAACATTATGAGGGGAAAAGAAAGGAGTAATCAAGAGGACATTAGATCGTGATTGACATTGCATTTAAATTTTTGCAGATTAAAGATGGCTGGAAAGCATGGAACCGGAAGCGAATTCCACAAGCAAGAATTGCGAGAAGGAAATGTTAGCCTAGAATTCATCTGTAAATAGATGAGATCCCGATGCCAGTCTAGGACTGCGCTTCAATTCACAAAGTTTAGGTACCATGGCAAAAAGTGTATCCGAACAATTACAATGCCAATATTTATAGAAAAGACACAGGGAGGCTACTTTACAGTGGTGGGAAAGTGACTGAAGCCGAGCGGCCAGATCAGGACCAAAAATATTGCTGATTCTCATTTGGATTTTATTATGGAGCTGATGGTAAATAACAGGAGCACCAGACCTTATGTGGCATTGATCAATGGTAGACCTATACAAATGTATGATAGACTTTGGAGAGAATACTGATTTGCACGATACAGTGAACCATCTTCATTAGCAACTGACTTAGAAATGGATTCAATATAGTCTTTCCACTTCATGTCAGCCGAGAATGTTAGCCTGAGAAGACGCAAAGAGTCACTTTTTTGGAGGTTAGCATCAGCCATGCTGATGGAAGGTGGAGAGAGGTCTCTCAGATAATTAATAGAGAAAAGTTTAGTTTTGGAGGCGTTAAATTTAATAGTTTATTTAAAATCCTTGGTGTCTCTTTTATGTATTCCTTGTGGCAATTATTGCAGTTCATAGATTAAATTCAAGTTTTAGCTTATTATTAACAACAAAATTGATGTTTCAAAAAACAGAGCTCGATGTAAAATATGAAAAAATACAGACCGATGTATATATGATGATATAAGGTACTTGAACTTTCAAATGGCAAAGGCAGCTGAAAATTCAAGTACATTTTATCGTACATAGACATATTCATATATATATATATATATATATATATATATATATATATATATATATATATATATAAGTTGTACGCATATGAGAAATTACCTACAAACGAACATAATATACAAAGCCAAGCAAGGTAAACCCCAAATACACTACAATGTACTACATTGGTGCCGCATTAAACAATATTCAAGCAAAAACAATATATACATGGACTCTCATTCTCCAACAGAAAATAATTCAACAGCACCTCACTATCAATATACATAAGGCAACTAAAAGACAGAAATATTACAAAAATATACTGGGAAATCATGAAGACCGCACCTGCCTACAATAACATATCAAAGAGATGTCTACAAGAAAAATTGGCAATAACCCCCCACACTCAATAAAAGGAATTACTAAACCAAAGATCGGAAATAATTTCTAAATGTAATCCCGAAAATAAATATCTAATATCACAGTTCATAGCAAACGGATAATACCTACAACATAAATGAACAGGACCAAGAATGAAAGGATATATAAAAAAAATGTTACCAACACTACCACCGCACCCACTAACGCAACCACCACCATAACAATCAATATGTATCTGCCTATATTTCTGAGATGAGGTATTTATAGTAGATTATTTACATTATTCGGACTATCGTCCTCATCTTTGTCGCCATATTTATCACAACGTTTCGGCCGTTGTATGCTCATTCTCATGCCACTGTGACATGTGTCCTCAAGGCACAGTGGCATATCGTAAAGATGGCGCGAACATTTTGATGCGATGTTTAGTCATCCTTTTCCAGTAGATGAGAATTTTCTCAATGGCGTCCGTCGATTCTCAGTTTCTGAACGAGACAGAAGCTGCTATAAAGTGATTTTCCAAGCGTAGCTTAGATGTGGTACAAGGCCGAAGTATGAGGCATTCAGTGAGGATCGAACTCACTGTTCAGTCGTAATTGTTCTAGCGAGACAAGCTTGCTAACCATTACACCACCTCGAGGTACCCAAGCTGATGTATAACGGCTGAACAGTTGACGGTCAGCTGGGTTGCATGATATATGAGCTGAGGTAATAAATCAAGTAGAATGAACTGCTATCAAACGTCTACATCTTTTATTAAAAGATTCTTGTGTAAAATCAGATATTTCTGAAGAATGGCGTAGTGTATTAATAGTCATGTTTTTTTTTTTCTTCTGCCTCTAGTTGTTAGTTTTATGTCTTATAATGCTTGACGTATATTTATTAATCATTCTACCCCAAGCAAGGCGGGAATGCCATTACTAAGCATGTGGGTGGGGTTTAAATAGAGTAAAAGTGAGAAAAAAGATTGGTTATAGGGGAGATTGAGGAAAAGAGTAAAAGATGAACGGGATTCAAGAATACAGAAGATGGTGATTGACGTTGCATTTAAATTTTTGAAGATTGTAATTTTCAGAGAAGCAACGAAACGGAAGGGAGTTTCACTCAAGAACAGACATTGTTGGAGTAGACGTTATGGCCGCATTTAACTATTTCAGAAATAAAAGTGTGGGACCTAAATGCCAATCTAGTAGCATGCTTAAATTCATGCAGTCGTGAAACCAGGGAAAAAAGCACGTCAGAATTTCTAATGACTTGTTTCAAGAATCTCAGCGTGGCTTTCGAGTAGACCGTCGTTACAGCAATATTTTTTCTGCAATGATATTTTTTGGTGCGAAGCATACATTTGTAACGAATGATTTTATTGTGTACGGTTTATCAACCAATTACAAGATTATTTAAAGCCAGAAAATATTCTTAGAGTCTAAGCATTTTTTAGATTGAGACAATAATGATTTAGTGTTAAAAGTCTTAAGAATTAACCCATAGCTGGGGGGGAGAAGTGATATTTGCGGATAAGTGAATATAACGAACACTACTACAATTGGAACTGGCCTCTCCGTTTAACAATTGCGAGACATTATCTATTATACCAGCCATACTTCCAAGCTTACAACACCTGGTATTCCCAAGTAACTACCCATCTAGGTAGTGACCAGGTCCGACGTTGCTTAACTTCAGTGATCGTAGGGAGACCTGTGTTTCAACGGATTTGTATCAAGCCGTTGTTGATTTGAAAAAGGTATTTGATACAGCCAACAGGGTTGATTTATAGGCAATGAAGAAAAATTGGTTGCCCAGAAAAGGTATATTAACATGCTTCGATGTTTTCATGATGCCATGGAAGTACAGGTAATAGTTTTCTGAACCAAATAAAGTCAAGTATTAAGTGAAGCAGCATCCCTGCTCTTGTCCTATTAACGCTTTAATTTACACTACTGTTATTCAGTGACTCTGCTAATGATGTAGATATAAGTTGACGTACATCTGGATATCTATGTAATATCCTTAGAATATCGGACAATACGATGGTATTTGTTAACCTTATATGAGACTTTTTGTATGCAGATGAGAGCAATCTTGTGGCTTATACTGAGGAAGCACATCTTATGGACGCTTTCATCAATGTTTGCATTGCTCTTGGATTAATAAATTTAAAAAAGAACTGTATCAACTCGTCATAAGAAAGCCTTACATAGAGCCTAATATCTTCGTATACAATAAGTAATGTTTGGGAAGAATATTCAAAAGTCCAGTAATGTAATTGGTAATTTGAAGCAGTGATATAAAGACAGCGTGGAATTTCGAGAGAGATTAAGGTTTAACATTATATTGTCGTTACTGTATGCAGGTGAAAAAATTTCAAGACATTATCTATATTTACCAGCCACACATCCAACTTTCAGTTTTAAAGCCGCTTCAATCCTTTCATCAACAATTCTACCGTCGAATAGATGGAATCAACTGGAGGATACATGTCAGCGATGCAGATTGGTTTGGTTTAATTTACGGTTTATCAACCTCAGTGGGTTATTTAATGCCGACAAAATTTTTATTTCTGGTAATATTTTTTTTTTGTTTTCAAAAATATATTTCCGGTAATAATTTTTCCGTCAAAAAAATGTATTTCTAGTAATATTTTCTCCAAAAATGTATTGCTGGTAATAATTTTTGTTACTGGTAATTCTGGTATTAAAACATATTTTTTCACTTTCATAGTGTTTTGAAACCAGGTTGGGGGGGGTAAGTATTTGCCAACAGCTAGCTAACAAGTGCTACCCCCGGTTAGGGTGGGTCTGGGAACACAAGCAGGTGGTTCCACGCTCCTCAAAACCTCCTGAACAGACGCCTTGCTGTCGGATGTAGTTTATGATCTTACCGAGGACGTGGATGTAGTTAATCGTCTTATCCTGGACGCGGATGTAGTTTATCGTCTTCCTCGTGATGGTCAGCGATGAAGAAGTGCTTAAGCGAAGTCAATGCGATAACACTGAAGCCGCAATTGTGAAATATAGGCTGAGTTGGCGGGTTCATGTTGCTCGCATGAGCGACAACATAATTCCAACGCGGATTTTGTATGTAGAATTTGCTAACGGATAGCGAGCAGATTTCAAGTCAAAGAAGCGTTATAAAGTCCACCTCAAAGGAGAACGCAATCTTGCTAACGACAATTCATATGTCTGGAAGTTCTATGCAAACGATCGTAGCACCTGGCGGAAGAAAGTTCATGAGAGTTGATTGATTCGTTTTCGGCGGCTTACCTATCCGTTGGAGGTTATTTAAAGCCAAAAAATATTTTTACACTGTAAGAATTTTTTAGAACATAATTATTTACTGATATACTGTGTAGGCCTCCGTCGGTGAAGGTTGACCATGGGTAGGAAACGAGTTGTCTGTCTGACTGAAGCATCGACGTCTTTGACTGTAGAGGTCGATGCGGGAGTGACAATCGCAGAGGTCGCATGTGTGTTTGTTATGTTACCTTACCCATAATAACATAATGAACTATTCCATACGTATTAAATACTGCGCCTCAAGAGGAAGCAGAGAGTTCAGTCCGATGTCGGGCAAGCGGTTGATCGGTTGAACTCTCTGCCTTCGGGCGAGGAAGAACCCGAACGAGGCTACGCCGAAGGGCGGAGTCTCTTTCGGGGAGGTAAACCGACCCTGAACCTGTTTATACGGGCTCAAAGGACATATTTTTGGTCGAGCCCACGGGCTCAGAGATCCCACGTTAAACTGTCCTTGTGCCACATGATGCCCTCAAAGGGGGTTAACTAAATACTGTTCAGTCTGAAGTCTGGATTGAAGTCCGTCAGGTGTCAGTCAGTCGAGTCAGAGGCAGTCCGAAACAGAGTTGCGTTCAGACAAGTACTATGAAACCTGATTGTTCGTACTAACACTTTCTTCTTCTCTGTATATACTCCTGTTTGTAATATATCTGTGTTATTCCATACCCGTATTCGAGTTCTTCTTTATTGGTTCTACCCTGGACTATCACCCGGGGTACAAGGAACCCGACCATAACAGTGTTCTTTACTGATATAGGTCTTTACTAATTAACCCTGTGCGAAGAAGATGTGGATTTATACATTTCCTAGGTGTATTTACGCGTAAGAGAATATATCGGCTCTAACTCTAATTGGAACTCGGCTATCAGATTAACAATTTCCCAGGCGGATGGGTAACATCGAGCAGGATTAGCTAGCCGCGCTAGTAAACTCCCATCCTCAGATAAGAGTGGCTTTAATTTTACTGCATGCCTGTGAGACTTTGCTTTCTGTCGAGATCTTTTAAAGGCATTTCAATGTTTTCATCAACAATTCTTGCGTCAATCCATGGAATCAGCTGCAGGATGTCAGTGAAGTATAGTTTGCGTTGGCACGGTCATGTTGCTCGCATGAGTGACAACAGGATTCTAACGACGATTTTAGCTAATAAATAACGACCAGATCATTAGTCAAAGATGCGTTATAAAGGATCACTAAACCTTGGAAAAATTATATGGCGTTATTTAGATCCAGTGACAGGATCCAAAGAGTCTGTGCTCAATACCCAGGTTAAGGGTAGTGGAGAACTTTCAGAGGGAAATTAACAGGAGATAACTGATAACTGGCATTCATTAAACATGGCACGTTGAACTAGAACAGCCTACCCCAATGAGCGAAATAAAGGATTCAGTTCGACATTCCAACCACCTGAAGAAGGCCGAAGCGTGCAACGGCCGAAACGTTGTAATAAATAAGGCAACAAAGATGAGGGCAATAGTCCGAATAATGTAAAAAATGTACATCAATATGTATTGTTAACATTATCAATAATATTTCATTTCACATCTATTATCACTACCAGCATTATCACAACCGTCAACAACACACAAGCAGTTAGAGTTGAAAATACAAACATTATCATCACCATAATCACAGACAGAACCCAGCTTAACCAATGTGTTGGGGATAAGACCCAAACCAATAGTGTATGTGCGCGTCTACACATGTGAGTATATATGTATATGAGGAAGTGTAAGTTTCTTTGACAGCCCATGCGATAGATCTGAAAAGCGTCAAGAACACACTTACCCTCTTCTTGTTGAAAAGAACTTCGCTACACATAAAAAGCTAAGGTCCTGAAACTGAAATAGAATTGCAATTGCGTATGTATCTATGCCCGAAAAACACGTATATGTATTTGCGCCTAGCCTAGAAGTGATTATATGGATGTGTTGGTGTGAACTAAAATGCTTACAACTGTATGTATGTGTCTATACGTATGATAATGCCACCACAAACAAACACAGAAGTAGATTCTCCCCCACGCCTGTTACCAAACCTAGCCATGCAAGAATAAATAGATCTCATTTTAAAAAATAAACTAGTTTGTCTGATGATCGCAAAAGTGTGAAACCCAGGGTCATAAACTCAGATTCATACAACTTATTATGTTAGCTCTATCACTGATATATATATATATATATATATATATATATATATATACACACAACCGCACAAACACACATACATATATATATATATATATATATATATATATATATATATATATATATATATATATATATACACACACAGACATATATATATATACACACACAAACACACATATCATATATATATATATATATATATATATATATATATATATATATATATATATATATATATGAGACGTTGAAGAATGAAGTAATACAAGTACAATCGTTTCTTTGGTAAGAATAATGTGTCCACAAGAGAGTGGTTACTCTGCGTAAATTACATTTCCGATCAGATCAGGCTATCCTTTTCACTTGAAGAATTTCTTCGAGCAGAAAGCCAAAACTTGGAATCAGGTTAGTTCCAAATTGACTGCGAAAGAAATGAAGAAATATTGTGTTTCAGTTTCTATGATTCAAGCAAATTTCTTCCCTTTTCTCTGTCTCATTGTCTGTCTCGTGTATTTCCTGATTTTTTTTTCTTTTTCCCTTTCTTTTCTTTCTTCTTTTCTCTCATTCCCTGGCTTTCTTATCATTTTTTTCCGTTTTTGTTCAATAATCCGGCAGTTGATTTGAAATTTTAATTCCATAACTTTATAGCACTTAGTCTGCATATTTACCATCATTTTTTTTCCATTTCTTCAATCTTCGCGAATTTTTTTTATTAATATTCTTTCTGGATTTTCCTCGGTATTTTTACCTTTTTTTTTTTAGTATTTTTCTTATTCCTTCATTCAATCCTTTCCTTCATCCTTCTTATTTTTTGCTTTCCCTGTATACACTTTTGCATTTCTCGCTGTCTGTTCTATGTCGAATATTATTTTATCTTCGTAGGTCATCCCACTACAACTTATTCATTTACATCTTTCAAAAATGTATTCCTTTTTTCCCATATCTGTTTTTTTGCTTCCTCTATTGGAGTGAATGCGCGAAAGTTTCCCTACAGAAACAAAAAAGAGTACTGAACGGTTACGTAATATCAGTCCTCCTATATGGCAGTTAATGCTGGTCAATCTCCTCACAGATGAAGAAGAGATTTGAAGCAACAGAAACAAAGAAAAGAGTACTGAACTGTTACGTAATATCAGTCCTCCTATGTGGCAGTGAATGCTGGACAATCTCCCCACAGATGAAGAAGAGACTTGAAGCAACAGAAAGAAAGAAAAGAGTACTGAACTGTTACGCAATATCAGTCCTTCTATATGGCAGTGATTGGTGGACAA